ACAAGCAGGCAGAGGGGTTGGGGACAATCAGGCAGGCAGGCAGAGGCAGCTAGGGTCAATCAGGCAGGCAGGCAGAGAGGTTAGGGGCGATCAGGCAGGCAGGCAGAGGGGTTTAGGGGCAATCAGGCAGGCAGGTAGAGGCAGTTAGGGGAGATCAGGTAGACAGGCAGGTGAGCGGTTAGAAGCCAGCAGTCCCAGATTGTGAGAGGGATGTCCGACCACCGGTTCAGGCCTGATCCCATAGGGCAGTTGGACATCCCCCAAGGGGTCCCTGATTGGAGAGGGTACAGGCTGGACTAAGGGAACCCCCTTCCCATCCCCCACCCCCGTGCACAAATTTCATACACTGGGCCACTAGTGTAATAATAAACTTTAATCAGGGGACTGGAACACTGGGCAATTCCTCAAAGCTGGTGGGCAGATTAAACATACTGTCAAAATTGTATATGTGTTACATGCCATGGAGTCTCCTCCAACTCCTGCAGGAGCAGGTGGGGGGCTGGGTTTCAACAGGAATGCAGACTATTCATCTAGGGTGGGATTTTTCAACCATGGCACCATCGTCATTTGGGACCAGGTAATTCGTTGTGAGTGCTGCCTTGTGCAATACAGGATGTTTCACTGCATCCCTGGACTCTATCCTCTAGATACCAATAGCACCTCAATGGCAACCAAAAGTGTCTGCAGATACTGTCAATAGCCCCCAAGATTTTGTTGCCCCAGGGGATATATTGAATTATCACGACTAAGGGAGGGATGCTATGGGCATCCAGTGAGTAGAGGCCAGGGATACTCTGAAACATTCTACAGTACACAGGAAAGTTCCCCACAACCAAGAATTACCCAGTCCCAAAGTCAATAGGACTGTGGTCAAGACACCCTGATCTATGACACCATGTAGGTAGGTAGGTAGGCAGATGGGGGGAGGGGGTACTTGTGGAAGCTCTCTTCTGATTGCTTCCATTTCTTCATTGAAATAGGAAGCAAGTTCATCAGCTGTGAGATTGTTGAAGGAGGTTTAAGAAGTTTAGGGAGAGAAGATATGAAACTGTCCTTTAGGAAAGGTGGACAATGAATGGACAAGGGAAGTGAACATGATTCTGGGCCGCATCAAGGGCTCACTTGAGGTAAGTAGTCAAGAATTTAATATGAAACCCGTAGGCCTGAATATGTGTTCTTCCTGGGGCCTCATTCAGAGGTGGAGTGACAAGGAGAGAGTTGAATTTAGCAGATTGTGATCTTGCTACAAGCAACAAAAAAGGCAAACAAGTGATAAAAATGACCACAGAACTTGAGCAGGGTAAGAAGACAGAGGGATTTAAGCAACTATGAAAAGGTAGGTGGGCAAAAAGTTCCAAATGTTTTGAACATGATGTGCCGAAAAAGGGGGAAAAAATAAGGTGAAGTTTATTTTACTGAGGTAATGACTCATTTTACTTAATAAATACTTGAGTACTCATTGAAAGACAAGTACAATTGTTTCTAAAATGAAACCAAGTCCACTGAGCTTTTTAAATCAGGTCAGTGTTTGGGACTGCAGTCCTTTTGGTTGAGTTTCCCTCCATTAGTGAAGCCAAACACTGGGGAAGCCACACTGAACATAGTAGAAATCGAAGGACTCAAAAACCTTGAAGTGACTTCTAGTCTTTATTTACTACTTTGTGTGTTTGTCTTATACTTGTTGAGATGATCATAGGCATTACCTGGGGGTGACAGGTCTCACAAATCCAACTGAACAGACTGAAGTGCCGGGCAAAACTGTGGCCATCTGAGGCACTATCCATGACTCTGGTGGTTTCAATGTGAAAATCAACAGCTGTTTCCGCAGGTTCTTGGTTCCTGCTTTTGTGGATTTCATTTGAAATTACAAAAGATAAAAAAGAAAAAGTATCCATTTCCTTGCTGGCATGCATACAAAATATTACAAAAGACCATGGCCCTCATGGGAAAAATATGTAGCCTTTGTGGACACGGGCCTCCCGAAATCACTTAGGTATCAGAAGAGTGAGTATGAGCCCAGCCCTGCCACTCACCAGCAGAATGGTCTCAGACAAGGCATTCAATATCTTCGGCTTCAACTTCTTTAGCTGAAAAATATATAGTAATATTTACTATGGTTACCTCACAGGAATGTATACGAAAGTGCTTTGTAAACCATATTGTACTTCACTAGTTACGAAGACTGTGACTACACCTTGACAGCAGCAGGGAGTGGAACAAAAGTCTCCCTCCTTGTCAAAATGGAGAAAAGCAAGAGGAGTTTTTCACTAAAGGCAGAACCCTGTGTTGCATGCATCAGAGGTGCACCAGCTTCTTTTCTACATGGAGTATATGTGTGGCAACCTGACCAAAGCTTGCACTTGGCAAACCCACCCTTAGAGCAAGGGCAGGAAGAAAGCTGAAGGAAGAGCAAAGCACTCCCTAGAGCAGTGTTGGCGAACCTATGACCCGCGTGTCAGAGGTGACACGCAAACTCATTTTTTTGGTTGATTTTTCTTTGTTAAATGGCATTTAAATATATAAAATAAATATCAAAAATATAAGTCTTTGTTTTACTATGGTTGCAAATATCAAAAAATGTCTATATGTGACACGGCATCAGAGTTAAGTTAGGGTTTTTCAAAATGCTGACACGCCGAGCTCAAAAGGTTCGCCATCACTGGTCTAGAGACACAAACCAAAAACACAACTGGTGAGTATAATTACAGACCCAATTCTTAGAAGCCTTGTTTTGAACTCACAGGGGTTTGGAAACAGGTGGGACATACTTATTACTGAGCATCCTAGGGTCATTATGACTCATTGACTAGGAGGAAACATGGAGCTTTTATGAAGTCATCCTCCGCTGGTGGCTGTGCACTCATAGTCATCTCGTGGCTTGCGACCTAAGCACCAAGTGCTCAAGAGTCCTCTCAGAATGTATCAACAAAAAGGCCTTCCGGAAGGGGCCCGGAAAGAAATATTCCAGGGCGCTGACTAGGACATAGGAAACCTGGTACTAGAGAACCCAAGCACTAACTGCAGGCCTGCCTCTAATTCTGTGAAAAAACTGACATGGCAGATAACTACCTCCATTTTCCCACCTGGAAAGTTGGGATAACATTTAGACACAAAGGGGAAAGTCGGGGGGTGGGGGGTGGGGTGGGGGGAAGGTGTCTATTCCAACCCATGCATTTCATATAGGAGGACAGGAAGGCTTGAGAGGTGAACTGACTAGTTCAAGAGGACACAGCTAGTAAGTAGCCAAGAGAGGACTAGAATCCAAATCAGGTCCCCAGATTAGTGCACCTTCCACACACCTGTTTCTTTCAGGGGCCTTCCCAGGAAGACAGGAGTTATCTGAAGGGGTTGTTTTCATACAATCAGTATCATTTCTCCATCATTCTGGTAGCTTCGGAGGAAAACTCCAGTGAAAAGGACAGCCGCAGCCTTCAGCCATGTCCCACTCAGCACTTAAAGATATGGTTTTACGTGGTTTTCAAGCTTGAGGATGGCAAGCAATCCTAGGATGGTGACAGAGATCCAGCCAGAGGCACAGTCGGGGGAGGAGGGAGAGAGATGGTATGAATAAATGGCACTGACAATGAAAACCAGGAAAAAAACCATGCAGGCGCCCTTTGTAATGAAGGGTCCCAGCACCTTATAGGGACCACAGTCCTGGAACCACAGCGCCAGGTTCAAGGGTTTAGTGCTCTGAGGTCACCGTTTTAGAATTCTTAACGCGAACAAAAGGCCTGGCACTATTTATTTTGCATTGGGTCCCTCAAATGTTGTGTCCGCTCCAGCTTCACCCCCCACCCCAGCCATAAAGCGGTGTTTTGTCTACACCACCACTCCAACCCTACCCCAGCCAAAGCAAACAAAAGTCCTGCAATGTTTAGCCCCCCTAGAGAGAAGGCTGTGGAAAAGGTCAGGGGAGCAGTAAGAGCCTACCTTCTGGGGCAACAGGCCGACTCCCCAGCGGCCTTTTCCAACCCTGGCAAAATAAATGCCGATATAAAAGTGATCCCCGCCCCCAGCCCACCCCACACTCCACGCCGCCTGAATCTTTGACTCTAGTAGCGCTCCTGTCCGCCCTTCAAACCGCCAGAAGCGGCTCAGTGTGCCCGTGGGGAAAATGAGAAAAGTGCGGGCCCCTCACCAGCTGAGGGAAGCTGCCCTAAGGGGTTGTGCCCCGGATGTGGTCCTCTTCAGCCCGCCGAGACCGCCCCGCAAACACCGCGGTTGAGCGGGGAAGGGGGGAAGGATAGAGGGACAACCGGTCGCGGGGAGAACAATCTGGCGCGCAGACGGCGAGCGGTCTAAACGCAGGCGCGTGAGCTCCGCCCCGCCCCACTTCGAACGCGGGTTCTCGGGAGAGGGAGGGGCCAGCACGGGGGTGGAGTTACGGCGGAGGGGCGTGGCTTCAGCGGAACGCGGTTTATGACGGAAGACTATAAGTAAGTAAACGATGGGCTTTCCCTCACGGAGGTTCCATAGTGTAGTGGTTATCACGTCTGCTTTACACGCAGAAGGTCCTGGGTTCGAGCCCCAGTGGGACCACCCTCAGGTGCTTCGGCTCCTACTTTTGATTTTAAAGTGCTGTGACTTGTTCACATGGAAACGTAGAAAACAAAAACGTGGTACTTTCTTTTCTCCCTTTAAACAGATTTTTATTTTATTTCTTTAATTTTTAGAATGCTTTTATAACAGAAGCGTAATGAAAGATACCCGGCTCCTCCATTCCCGGCCGCCATTGTCTCAACTGAAAAACAGCAGAGGTGGGGGCCCGGCAATGTTGTAGTCTCGGAGCACCCCGCGGCCCTCCAGGACCCTACCCCCACCTTCCCTCCGCTACTTCAGGGCGGCCTGAAAGTCTAGCTCTGGGGAGAAGCAAAACCACCCAGCGTGGCCCTTTCCCTGCAAGCCAAGACAGGCCGCCCCCCAAAGCCTCCAAATAAAATATGACAATACCACAGCTCTTTGATTGCTGTTCAATTATTGAAGGGTTATTACTTATTATTATTTATTAATGATTAATAATAATTATTCTGTCTTGAATAATTATTGTTTATCAAATTATTATTGATTAAATAATTATTAGTATTATACAGAATAGGGAAAACAGTCTTTTTCTATTTAAAAAATTACTAACAGTCCTTTTTTTCTTTTCTTTTATTGTTTAAAGTACTACATATGTCTCCTTTACAGTCTTTTTCTTTTTAATACAACAGTGGAGTTTGTTAAATAGACCTTTGTCTGTTTAATGAATCCATATACAATACAGAATAAATGTCAGGCTTGTAGACACTCAATAAATGCTGATTGAACAACGCTTCTCTAGTTCCTTTTTGTTCCTCTTTATTAGTTTCATATAGGAGTACAGGAAGGCTTGGGAGGTGAACTGACTAGTGCCAGCCAACCACTAGCATTCATTTTGAGGGGTCATTATCTTTTTAATATTGGCCTTTTTCTTCTTTGACAAGAGGAATGAAGGAAAGGTGTCTGGGACCCTGGGAGCTGAGGTAGGATAGTGGTGGCCAAGAAGCAAAAAGGCAAGGGAAACCGCAGTCCTTTTCTCTGCATTTTTTCCACATAGTGTTGCTTATACAGTGTGTAAATCTGTAACCTTTTCTAACTCTAGGGCATGACATGTGATTGTCCCTGTTAGTACAATCGCTTCAAGTTTTAACTTTATTTTTATAGTCTTAACCATTTTTAAGTATACAGCTCAGTAATGTGAATTATATTCACACTGTTGTGAAAAAGATCTCTAGAACTTTTTACATATATAATCCTATTTAATTCTCAAACTAACTCCATGAAGTAGGCATTATCATTACCTTACAGATCAAAAAGTTGAAACACAGAGACCTTAAGTAACTTGGCCCAAGGTCACAAAACAAATGGTTGAGCTGGGATTTACCCCGCCTGGCTTGGGAATCTGCTTTTAACCCTACCTGTTGCACTTTTAACAATACCTGTTTCACTGGCCACGTATATTGTTTCCAACTTTTTGTTATTATAAATAACAAGCAATGTATTTTAATATTTTCCCGAGTGAATAGGTATGAACATGAAGCCAAGTTGCTTTCTAAGAGAGGAATCCATGTCATTTTCACAGAACTCTTGAATGTTAGTGCTTATTTGGCAGGAAATTGCTCAAGGTCACCCACTAGATAGAAGATGAGGGCAGAGAAAGAATTAAGACCTGGATCTTCTGATTCTAGTTTCCATTTCCCTCCAGTGCTTCCATTACATTTAAAGATAGAATAAAACCAATATTTTCCTTGGCTAAACAGACCTCAGTTGACACTAGATTCTTGTCTAAGACTTCCTTGTTAAAGCAGGTAACTATATGGGTTAACTTGGTGGGGCTCAGCCAAAGCCCTAAGAACTAAATGGCATAAGGTGCTTAATGAGGCCAGTGCTCAAGTTAATCTCCTGCTCCTGGGGAAGCTCTCCACTTGGATAAGGTAGAGCTGCAGCCAAGGACAAGGGGAGAATGCCACTCAAGATAGAAGGCTTCTTGTTCTTACTTCTGTTTGGCTATGAAGGTAGGTGCCAGCCAACCATTAGCATTCATTAAACACTTAATGTAATTGAATTAATAATATAGATGATTAATAGAAATGCAACCTAAATAATTAAAATATTATTAATTAGCAAAGCATGTTAATTAATATGTGTTATTAATGAACAACAGTTGCCTTTGTGTGGATGCAGTTCTCTCTGTCTCACCGCTGGCTTTTTGGCTCTGTGAGGAGCCTTCTGAAGTTCAAAGGATGCTTAAAATGGGCTAGAAAGAAGAAAGGGTCTCAGAAATTGTATAAAATAGCTACAGATTCAACAATTAGTAGAAAAGTGTGACATGTTCTTGTAAATTTTTAGGAGTCACAGTTAAAGTGATTATAAAGTTTAATCTTCCAAACCAGGATGCTATTGAGAGTAGAAGAGGTTGCTATTAATAATTCTGCTGGGACAACAGGTGTAAACCAGGACTGTCCCAGGCAAATCAGGACGTGAGGTCACCCTAGTTTAAATATGGATTAACATAGGGGGCGGGGTGGGGTAGAAGAGGTCAATGGGACATATGTAATACTTTCAACAATAAAGATTAAAAATAATAAAATAAAAATAAATAAATATAGATTAACAAAACATGCTGAGTACCACTGGACTCTAATAGAAAGAATAATCCAACTGACAGTCAGAAACAGCCAAAGACTCAATATACTAAATTATTTTTAAATGGCTAAATATGGTCCCAGCAAGAATGATATGCTTAAATAAGAAGAAATTAAAGGCAAATATCTAAAATGTCATCCAATTCAACTTTTAAATCTTCAACTCTCAAGGGCCCATCAGCTCAGGATTTCTTTTTTAGTTAATTCTGAACAAAATAGCTTCTTTATGGTCATTGGGTATTTATGTGGGTAACAGAAAATAAATAAAGAGGGTAGGGAGGAGGAGGCCTCTCCACTCTGTAAATGACCTAGTAGACAGACATGACAAAACTCACACAAGCAGACTCAGAATTCCTGGTTTGAATCATTCTCCTTTCTACCCTCTCACATTTTACTGGTAGAGTACTCACTTTCATGATTCCCCAATCACACCGCTTTTGTTATTTAGTCACATTTCTCAGTATTTGGAAAGACTTGTAAAGATATAATCCTAACATCATTTTGCAAATGATGTAGAGATCATTCTAAGTAGAGATCATTCAGACTAATTGTCTGCTTCTTTCTCCTTGCAACATGTCCCAGTAACTTTTTAAAAAAAGAATAGTTTATTGCCCTGGCTGGTGTGGCTCAGTTGGTTGAACATCGTCCTGTGCATGGAAAGGTTGCCAGTTGGATTCCCAGTTAAGAGACATACCCAGTTTGCGGGTCTGACTGTAGGCACTCGATCAATCTTTCTCCCTCTCTCTATTTTTCTCTCTCTAAAATCAATAAGAACATTTTTCTAAAAGGATAACAGTTTGCTCGACTGGCATGGCTCAGTGGTTGAGTGTTGACCTATGTATGGACCAGGAGGTCACGGTTCAGTTCCCGGTCAGGGCACATGCCCGGGTTGTGGGCTCGATTCCCAGTGTGGGGCGCGCAGGCAGCCTATCAATGATTCTTTCTATCTCTCTCTCCCTTTACCTTCCTTTCTGAAATCAATAAAAATTGTTTTAAAAAAACAAAAGGATAATAGTTTATTGAGTTTTTTAGAGGAGGAAGAAGGGAGAAAGATTGTTATGTGTGATTGGCCTTCTGCACACCCCCTACCGGGGATCAAACCCACAACCTGGCATGTGCCCTTGACCTGGAGCACCAATGCCCAACCAACTGAACCCACAGGCCAGGACTGTCTCAATAACTCTTAATAGTTTAAGATGCTTTTGTGGTTTTGTTGTTTTTCCTTTCCTCTT